GCAGATTTCTCCAAAGCTTTGTGTCCCTTATAAAGTGACTAAATATGTGGAAAATTAATCCATGATGGTAGCCTCCTCTGCTCAGGTAGTATGGAATTCAGTCAGTCTCACCTCTCAGCTGTAGCCTCCCAAAACACCAGACGGAAAAGAATATCCTTGGACTGAGCTCTGTTCTCAGGAGGCCATCTAATCACCTCTGCTTAATTCAGTTCATGTGCATCGGGGGTGACCTCCCAGCATTGGACACCCCATCGTCTATAGAGAACTTATATCAAGAGACATGTAACGTAAAATTGCTATAAGCAGAAGTGCTATGGGAGTTGAATGGAGGAGGAAACGTCTCTACTTATTCCGATTGAGTGGATAGGTGGACGCTTTTGACATTTGAGCTGGGCCTTGCAAAAGAAGTAGGAGTTCAGCAGGACACGTTTACAGTAGTTTTATCCATAATTGCCAAGTAAAATAGTATATTACTAGGATTTCAGTCCATATATGTGCGGGCTCATTTCAAACATAGCCTGTTTAAACACAGCGTGTGAACAGTGAACAGATGCAGGCAAGTTCTCTCAGTCACACACTTGTCTTCGTCTCCTTAGAAAGAAGACGGCCAATGAGAACTGTGGTTTCCAAGGAGACAGGCTGGGCCAGCTAAGTTCAAGGGAAAGGCATCAGCTCAGAAGGCTTTGCGGCCTTTCTTGGGTGGAGGGGAGCCAAAGGGGTAATCTTGAACGATATTTTCAAAGGACACAAAATGAGGACATGGTCTTATGAGGATGAAGTTTCAAGAAAATGCATTCATAAGCAAAAAGTTAGGAAAGTTGTGCCAAGTAATTTTTTCCCCATCACAACAGCGCATCTGCTCGTTATTTGATGGAAGCCAGGGTTGGCCTGTGAGCAGATCCTTGGGAAGCTGTACGCCCTCCACTCTAGAGCCCAAATCTTTCCCTGATGGACACTTTGTGGTCCCCAAACGCCAAGGGCATTTACAAGGAACTGTATCTGAGCCCCTCAAGGATGCCCAAGCTGCATGTCGGATGTGGTGTCAAATGAAGAGTGCAGAACTCTGCAGAGAGGGGTTAGGGAGATGGGAACATAACTTCAGGAGTGGACAGATTGAGGTGGAGCCTATACTGGGAAACGGAAGCTTCCCATTTTGTTATTTTTCTTCACTAAAGGTGTTGATGATTTTGTAGAAACACTTTTTACCTGGCCATCATATTGGAAACACCCAAGATGCACTTCAACAGGTAAATGAAACAACATATGATGGTGTATCCATACAATGTAATCCTATTCAGCTGTAAAAAGCCACAAACAGACATGGAGAAACCCAAAGGCGTGTTGGAAAGTGAAAGAAGCCGGTCCGAAAGAGTCGCATGCTGTATGATGCCAACTCCGTGACATCCTGGGTGAGCCAGCACTTTGAGACAGTGAAAGGATCCCTGGTTGCGAGGAGCCTGGGGGCAGGGGGGAGGGATGACTGAGTGGATCGCAAGGCATTTTTAGAACAGTGAGACTATTCTGTAGGCTGCTGTGATGGAGGACATGAGGCTTTATGCATGCGTCACCACCCACAGGAATGAACAGCAGAGTAAGTCCTGATGTAAACTCCGGACTTCCATTCATGATGACCTATCAATATAGCTCATCAATTGTAAAAACCGTAAGTTATTAGGCCTACGAGAAGTAAGATGCAGGGTTCCACCTCTGTGCGATTTTTCTTTTATATACACTGGAGCTTCATAGACACTTGAACTTGCAGCGTTGATGATGATCTTAGATTGGTGAATGATCTTATAATGCCTCCCTGAGGCGTGTTCATACTGCCACGTTATGGGGGGAAATGAACAGGTTTAAGGTAACGTTCCCTCCTACTGACATGCGGTTTTTCCTCATCCCACTTCCTCCCTGAGTTTCCCGTTTCCATCCCTCTTTCTTCCTTTGAGATCTATTTCCTTGCCAACCTCCCTGCCTCCCCTCCCACTGACATGAATGTCTCTACCTTCTAATTAGTCATTTTTCTGGCTAGCAATTTTTCTGTACACTTAATACTGCTCTAGAAATAAAGTCTATTGAAATTTGGGGATGACTTGATATATAAAAGGTAGTCTAATTTCTTCACCACACCTTGCTAGAGCACCCATATCTTCCGTGTGTCCTTCATGAGGGCGAGTATCCAGCAGGACCATGTTATATAAACTAGCCCTTCTTATACCGGAGCTAGGATTAAGTGAAAGCCCAAAGTCCAGTCCTGAATCTGTGTTTTCTATCTGCCTCTGGTTCACTTTAGAGACATCGTTGATACAGTGTCTAGGGTCTTAAAGACTTGTTTTCAAACAAGCAGCCATCTGAGACATCAACTAAGCCCACGTGGAAGAAGCACAGCAACAGCCATGATCCAAGGATTGTAAATTATGTAATCCAAATCCGATGGAGAGAATAGTATCACGAGTTTAAATTGTGAGGCTCTGGTTTGCAGAAGGCTATGAATAACAACGGAAGCCCAAAATACCTTTTCAGGATCTACACAGAGATCCGGTAACTCCCTCTGACCATAATTGAGGGATGGAAATAACCTGGTTATCATGGTTACCAGACAGAGAGTATTTTAGAGACAACTATGTAGATTAAAATGATAAATCTGAAAAAACAACAACAACAACAAACAAACAAACAAACAAAAGATAAATCTGACTTGAGTGGTTAAAACCTCATCATTTGATCTCCCTTTGATACCCTTTGTGCTTGATCTTATTTTAATATTTTCTGGCTTTCTTTTTCATACTGAAGGTTTTTTTGTTTGTTTGTTTTTGTTTTTTAACATTTTACTAGGGGCTCATACAACTGTTATCCCAATCCATACACACATCAATTGTGTAAAGCACATTTGTACATCGTTTCTCAAAACATTTTCTCTCCATTTAAACCCCCGACATTAGGTCCTCATTTTTCCCCTCCCTCCCCGCTCCCCCCTCCCGCATGAGCCCTTGATAGTTTATAAATGGGTATTTTGTCATATCTTGCCCTGTCCGACGTCTCCCTTCATCCACTTTTCGGTTTATCTCTTGTATTTTGTCATTGTCTGTAGCCTTCTTGACTCTCTGTAACGTATTTTCTGTTTCTCAGTATATCAAACCCAGGGTAGATGGATCTATAGACGGTAACTAGAATCAGGGTTCAGGTGAGGTGGGGGAGGGGTGGCGGTAATGGATTGCTAATAGCAAGAAGTACAAGAAGGAAGAACATGTCCTGAAACTAATTGTGGTCATGATTGTACAACAATGCTCGATATGACTGAATGATGGAAAGGTATGCTGTCTGGATTGAGTCCTAATAAAATGGTTTGGGGGAAAAAAGGTAGTCTATACATAGAACGGATTGTGATTATGCCATCAAGAAAAAGAACATTCTAAGACATACTGCAACACGGATAAACTCGAAGCCGTCATGCTAAGTGAAATAGGTCAGTCACACAAAAGAAAGGAACAAAAAATGAATGGCTCCACTGGTGTGGGATCTCAGAACAGGTAAACGCAGAGAGACAAAGGCCAATTAGTCCAACAGTTGGACTTATGTGAGCATGAATTATGTGAGCATCTCTCTCCACGACCATGACACCAGAAGAAGTAGAATCTAGTTACTAGATGGTACCAGACGACCACCACCCACTACTCTGAAAGAAATCTTACTAGAAGGTTCTGGATAGAGGGGGGCAGGGGGAGAAGGTGGAATGGAATTCAAAGTCATAAAAAATACCACACTTACTGGTCAGATAGAGACTGGCAGAACTCACCAAGACAATGGCCCTTAATCACCCTTTAGCTCTGAAAATGAACTCACCCCCACAGCTCAACTTTCAACTAACCAATAGACAAGTCTATGAGGGGGAGCACTACCACGCATGAGGTCTGCACACCTTAGAATAATCTACCATTTGAGATCAAAGGGGCAGCACTTACCCCAGGACAACGTTCAGAAGGATCAGGAAAGGAGGAATGCAGACAGGAAACACAGGGAGGAAGTGGGATAAGTGATGCTCCGTGGTGTTGGCGATTGCAGTCAATGACATGATGCCAAATGCATACAAATTACTAGGTGGAAATGAAATCTGCTCTGTAAACTTTCACCCCACTCACAATAAAAAAGGGTGTGTGTGTGTGTGTGTGTGTGTGTGTGTGTGTAAGACTATCCGTGGCTAACAGGGGTGAGAGGGAGCAGAGGAAAAGGGTTGGCTCAAGAGGAGCCAGGTGTCCGTTTGGAGTGGGAAAAGCACTGTGGACGGAGTAGGGATGATGGTTGCACACACAGGGAATGTAGTTAATGTCACTGCGCTCAGGCGTGGTTAAAACGGGCCGTCTTTTATTAAACCTATTTTACCACAATGAGGTTTTGGGTGTTTTTGTTTTGTTTTTTGAACTGGGAGGAAGTTTCAGACAGAGATACCAAAGTATCCCAGGACGAAGACTGAAAGTGAGAACAAGAAGTGTGGACGGAGAAGGTTGGTGCAGGCGAGAGATAAGATAAACGGTGGAACGTGCCCAACTGTGCGCAGTCCCAGATGCCAGTGAGGAAGTCTCAACTCTACACAAGGGGACCGGCCAGGCCTTCTAGAGCGGTGCACAAACTGATGTGATCGGTGCTCGCAGCCATGCCCTGCTCGCGGCCACGCCCTGCTGCTATTCTGATTCCCACATCCCATACATAATTTACTCTCGGAAGAAAACTTTTTTCAAATGCAGGCTTTTTACCTTGTAAGGACAATGAGTCCCAACAGCGCTTTCTCACACGCCTGGGTAAAGGCAGACGCCCCGGTGCTGTGATAGAGGGAAGTCATGAATTCTAGAACAGTCTCATTCCGGAGCACTTTGTAGCACACATTGGCACTGAACAGCAGTCTGCTTTCGCAGTGGGACACAGAGATGGCCAGCCCAGGCCAAAGGGACAATCTTAAAAAAAAAAAAATTAAATTAATGTAATTTCCTACCAGAAAAACAATACACTTAAAACAATAATGATTGCATGTTTTTGAACTCTCTGGATCTGACCAGAATTTTCTTTAGTCTGATTTCTTCCTATTTATGTTTGTAGTTATAAGAGTGCCGGTGGCATAGTGGTTACACATTGGGCTGCGATCCGAAAAGTCAGCAGTTCCAAACCACCGGCAGCTCCGCTGGAGGAAGACAAGGCTTTCTACTCCTGGAAACAGTTAGTCTCAGAAACCCACAGGGGCACTCGGACCCTATCTTATAGGGTCACTATGAGTCGGAAATGAGTCAACGGCAGTTTAGGGATTTGTTTTCAGTGTCTTTTACACATATATTCAGGATTAAAACATTCCTGTAGAACCAAGCCCACTGCTACTGGGTCGATTCCAACTCAGAGTGACCTCATGTAGGGGGTCTGATGCTATAAATCTTTACAGGAGCAACGACCCTCCTCATCTTTCTCCTGGTAGGTTTGATCCAATGACCTTGTGGTTAGCAGCCCAAGGCTTACCTGACAAGGTCACCAGGGCTCCTTTGAACAGAGCTCCTCAATCTTGACACAACTGATGGTCAGGATGGGTAATTATTTGTACAGGGCTGTCCTGAACAATGTAGGACCTTTAGCATCATCTCTGATATCCATTAAATACCAGTCGCAGCCCTCCCCTGTGACAACCAAAAATGTCTCCTAAGGGTCTGTCAAATGTTCCCTCTAGGGCCATAACACCCCTGGTTGAGACCCACAGCTATAGGATTGACATTATACTGATCAGTCCCCACAGGAAAACCTCTGCACTCAATGGGGAGAGGGAAGATGGGCGCAAGGACAAGACTGAGATATACTTAAGTGATACAACGTGCAAATAATCAAGGAGACATGAAAGCCCTTTCCTCCCCACCTTCACAAATGCCACGGGCCAAAAAGCTCTGCCTAGGAAATGGCATGAAAACCCGAAGATTCCATTTCACATTCCTGTGGACCTGATTGGCTGACCACAGCACAGTCATCCACACTGAGCACAGCGCGCCGTTGGGCGTCCACATATGTCTGTCCAGGTAGAGAGACAGTGACGGGGTGAGTGGCCACAGACCACTTCATGCACAAAACCCGACACTTTGAATTCACCCAGAAACCAGTTCACAGTCTTTATCTTGGTCTCATTTAAGATGGATCCAAATACTTTCCCCGAAGCACCCTGTTCTCCAAGTAGCGTAAAAATCCTGTGTTTCGAATGGTTCTCTCTTTCACTAGGGGAGGTAAGCTTCTCCGCTTAACCTCTGCTTGACAGAAGATTTCTTATTTACCATCCTGCCTGTGCCAATTTCTGTCCAGCAAGAAATTAGAAAAACTGTACATTTTACGATAATGTGCAGTTTAGTTTCATTATTATACGGCACACACAGAAAATTTCACTTCTGAGTTTCTTCAAGGACTTGTGATGATGACAATAAAAAATGACAAGAAAGAACAAAACATTCTGTTGAGCACACAAATATTCATATATGTGTGTATGCATATATCCGGAGCCAAAAACCCTGCCAATCTCATAGTCACCATTCGAGAAAAAAACCTGCAAATTATAAAAAATCCATTACATTTCACACCATGGAGTCTCCCACAGGTGGCAAACTCGTATAATCGTGCAGTGCAAATAATGCTGCTCACATTACAATAATGTCAGAGTAACAGAAAACATAAACAAACCCACTTGTGCTGGGGAATCTCCACCGGCTTTTTAGGATCAAAGTAGTTCCGTCCAATTTGGTACATGGATAGCTTTTTCAAGATCCTGCAAGTATGTGTTTTGAAGCATCGGTCAGTAGCAGTCAGTGACAGAATGCAAGGTTACACAAGTGCTGAACATCATGAGAAACACACTGGGAAGTACCGAGCTACAAGCCCGATAGCACAGAGAGCTTAGATAACAAGGACACATATGACGGCATATAGGAGAGGCCTTCAAAAAGCTCATGGAAAACCCCTTTTCGGTCCATTCCGTTTTTCCACGAGCCTTTTGAAGGCCCCTTTGTAAGAACTATTGCTTTTCATATTTGAGAACAGCTTAACGGAAATGCTGCCAGACTGTCTGCCTCTGAGGTGTGTGGTGGCGTGCCCTGTAAGAGCTGTGGACGAGACCAGCTGGTTAGGCTGGATGGGTCAGGTTAGATGGCTCATCGACCACCTCTATCAGCGTCTCTGAACCGAAGAGCCTGCTGCTAACGAAGTTACCAGGACTCCCAGGTGCCACCAAGCACCATGGCTGTCTCTTCAGCGGTGCATCTTGGCCACCTTTGAATCGGAGACATAAAAACACAAGGCTGCCAGGGCATGGGAAAAGGGAGGAATCTTCAAGTCCTGAAATGGGTGACCCAACTTTGGGACCATCACTTGAGGTACAATCACTGAGCCTCGGCTTCCTCACCGGCCTAAGGGAAAGGGCCGGGTAATGAACCCAGCCTCCGCGTGCTGGCTGCTGGTTTCCAACAGCGCTTTCTCTGGGCCAGTGGTTCTCCACCTTCCTAATGCTGCAACCCTTTCTTTCATACAGGTCCTCATGTGGTGGTGACCCCAACCGTAACATTATTTTCATTGCTACTTCATCACTGTCATTTTGCTACTGTGATGAATCAGGAGACCCCTGTGAAAGGGCCATTCGACGCCCACCCCCCCCCCAAGGGATCGCAACCCACAGGTTGAGAACCGCTGCTCTGGGTGGGCTTGTGAGAGACTGGCCTCGGAAGCCAGCACGCAGCAGACGGTGTGCAGCACGGAGCAGAGACCCAGGTATGACCCAAAGATGCCTGGCCAGGGTTAGGGAGCTGCCTATTTGTGTAGGGGAAGTTCCAGGGTATGTGCTACTCAGCAAACCCTCGTCTTCTCTGGGGGTCCCTTTGGCAAAGGGCCCATCTAAGGTTTTGAAAAGTTCACCTTAATCCTTCGCTCTGATAACATACCAACCAGCCGTTCTGGACCCCAGATGTCCTCAGTCAACATTTGGGATGCCTGCTAAAAATGGAGCCGTCCAGGTTCCAGCCCTGAAATGCTGACTGACGAGGTCTGGTCAACAGGGGTCCTGGTGGCATCATGGGTTTCCGCCTTGGGCTGATAACCTCAGGCCAGCAGTTCGATTCTACCAGCTGCTCTGCAGGAGAAGCTGAGGCATTCCGTGTCTGTAAGATTTACAGCATTTCTACCCTGTCCTGTGTGGTCCCTGTGAGGCAGCATTGGCTCCAATCCCCTCAAGAAGACTCTAAAGCCAATGATTCTGGGAGTGGTCAAGGAAACACTGGGATGCTTACTGAGAGCCTCCCTTCTGCACGCCCACCCACCAATGCAGAAATGCGAGGAAGCTAGGGTGGGAGGAGGGCGGTGGGAAAGCGGTGGTGTCTTTTCATATCCAATTTAAATGAGATAGGAGGAAAAGAAATTTCTCTGTTGCTAGCCACACCGGCAGTGCATTGGCCAGGACTGGAACTCAGGTTGCCTGCATGGAAGGCAAGAATTCTGCACGGAATGACCGCTGCTTTCCCTCATACTCAAGCACCTCCCTGCAGTCGAGTCCACTCCGACTCATAGCAGCCCTGGAGGACAGAGTAGCCCTCCCCCTGTGGATTTCCCAGGCTGTAATTCTTGATGGCCGTAGAAAAGCCTCATTTTTCTCCCACAGAGAGGTCAGGGGCTTTGAACTCCTGATCTTGAGTTTCACAGCCAATGCATAATCCACTACACCACTGAACTTTAAATCTGGGGCTAGGTTGAGGGTATAGGAAGAAGAGAACAGAAAAAAAGATACCCTATTTAATTCCAGTGAGAGAGAAAAACCCTGGAGTTCTTTACATCCACTTGGATAATAATGAATGATGGTGGTGCGTGTTAGCAACTGTGATGGGCTGAGCGGCAGTTCCTTACGTGAGTCCATGAACATTCTAGCGTGGCAAACGGCCCTAAAGAGACCACTGTGCTGGCACACTGTCGGCAAGATGGTTGATGACTTAATAACCAGCCTTGATGCTTACAGGTCTCATGAGTCTAAATTAAATTCACATCTAAAGCAGCTTACTTTTTGAAGATGATGCTGAAAACCTGGATGCACACAGGGGAACTTGACGGCAGTGCCCCCGTCAGCATGAGAGTCATCTTCACAGCCTCGCCTCTGTGAGTCTCACTGAACAATTCAGTCACCTGGGAGAAGAAGCATTTCATATGCACGTTACAGATCACCTCCACGTGTGCAGAAGAGCACATTATAAAATCATCACAGTTTAATACACATCAACCGACAGCAAACTGCAGGTGTTAGTTTGACAACTCATCTAATCATTGGATGGTGTTTATAGGATTTCTTCTTTTCCCAGAAAATAACAGATGTCCCTGCTGTTAGCTCCTTAAGGGAAGATCAGAGTGAGACTCCTGCTTAAAGATTCCTTCCTGAGAGAATTCCAGGAACAGTGTGAAACAAAGCTCAAGTCATTAAAAAAAAAAAAAAAAGATCAGGCTTACCGGTCAGAGACAAGTGGAACCCTAGAGATTGTGGTCCTGAGTCATCCTTTAAGTCTAGAAATGAGCTCATCCCCATGGTGCAATTTTTGTGCAGACAATAGGCAAGCCCATGAAAGGAACAGTAACACTAGTGAGGTGTGCATGTCTTGGACTGACCAGCCTTTTCAGATCAAAAAGGCACCAAGTTCAGAATGATTAGGAGAGAGGAAGGAAAGGAAACAGGAGACACAAGAGGAAGTGGGATAAGTGGTGCGACATGCTGGGGTTTGCAATGAATGTGATGGAACAAAATGTGTATGACTTGTTGAAAGGAAAACTGATCTTCTTCATAAGCCTTCACCCAAGCTGCCCTGCAGTAGAAAGATGAGGGGTGCAACTCACGTAGATTCAGTCTCAGAAACCCACGGGGGCAGTTCTACAATCAGAATCAACTCGGGGGCAGTGAGTGACTTCTCAAACCAACACTTACCTCTATGCTCAAGAGCACAACGTTTGGAAACAGACAGACTCCAGTCTGTGGCCTCTTACCCCCTATGTGATCCAGAGCAAGTTACATCAACTCTTTAAGACCTTTCTCTTCTCTAAAGTGGGTGTGAGTCTGCTGCAGGTCGCTGGGTACACCAAACCCAACCCTCTGCCATGGAGTTGACCGTGACGTACAGCGGCCTGTATGGCAGAGTAAAACTACTCCTTAGGGCTTCTGAGGATATACAGAGAAATAGTAAGCCTAAGGCAAATAGTAAGGTCAGAATTAAAAAGATAGAAGAGCAACAGTTCCCTTAGGATACTGTATACGTTATCGTTTTCATTGGGTGACAAATAATATGCTAATACAAAAAAAACCTGTCACACCAAGTATTAATGGTCTATTTGTCCATCAGCCTCCAATGTATTCTTGCCACATAATACATTCTTAGACACAGTTAGAAGGAAATGAATAGA